ATCATACTGGCCACAGGATCACAGAGTATCATGGGGCCAGCATAATTGGCTTTTCGGCTTAGTAACGGAGATTAACACCGCCCCCATGGTCGGACACGACTAGACAACCTTGTCAACAGGGAATGTCTTTACTTTTACCTTTAACAGGATTCCTGCCATAGAATGTTCTCAAACATTCTTCCTGCTAATGGGAAATGGTCAAGAGGGATTGCTGAAATAGCAATGGGGGGGGACGGACACAGAGATTTGGTTTGATCAATGAAGAGGGTCCAAGTACTGAAGAAACGTAGAGATTAGGAATGATGCTAAACAGAGGAAGGTGAAGAAAAAATGTTCTACAAGACCAAGAGAAGTTACTAAAAGAGTTTTGTGCAATCCACAAGACAGTAGTGGGAAAATGGTTCACATGTTTGGTAGAATCCTGCATTGGGAGATGTTTGTTGTGCAACAGGTATCCATAGAGACCTCCAGGGGTCCTTTGGCAGCTCCTGCAGATAACATTATTTGCAGTGCATCCAGCTACAGTAAAATAGCTGGAAGTGTCCCACTGATCCCCTCCCTCTCCAGCAACATGGAAATGGCCATGTTGGGGGGCTGCTTACAAGATGGGTTGGGGGGACACTGCATGGTCAGAGCAAACTTCCAACCTCTACAATGACCCGAAAAGTGAGTTGTGGTGCCATTTGACTTGCATCATTGCAATCCACCAAAAGAATCCCAGCTATTGATGTAAATGTAAATCAGATTTTCTAGCTGAGTTCACAGAACTGGTCTCAGAGGGGGGTTGCAGACTGCCAAAAATAGTGCAAATTGAGTCCACTTTTAGGGTTAGGGTTAGGGTTAGGGAATCATGGAAACTGTATTTTATTGTGACACCAGAGCTCTCTGACAGAGAAGGCTCAATGTCTCAGGGGGGGAAAAACAATTCCCATGATTCCCTAGCACTAACCCTAACCCTAAAAGTGGACTCAATTTGCACTATTTCTGGCAGTCTGCAACCCCCCAGAGTTGGTATTTGCAGTGCATTCAGCTACAGTAAAATAGCTGGAAGTGTCCCACTGATCCCCTCCCTCTCCAGCAACATGGAAATGGCCATGTTGGGGGGCTGCTTACAAGATGGGTTGGGGGGGCACTGCCACATTTCATTCAAGGCCAGTCTGTCAAGTGTTGCTTGACAGTTCATTACATCCATGGCAAACATGGTCCTATCCCTAGTGGTCTCAGAGCTCACACATTTAGCAGGCCACATCCTTGATGGTGTTTTCATTCTGAGAACATAGGTCTGTGGGCAGAGATTATTAATACCTCTGTGTTGTCATGGAGAGATTATTTTCTCTTCAGAGAGCATCACAGCTACTTGCAGAGGTGGTGGACCTATTAAGATGGTCCACCCTTGAAAGCTAATAGATCCTTCAGGATTTCAGAAAGCTTTAGAGGGTTTTATGGCTCGTATCGCCAACAACAGAGTATTATTATTATTATTATTATTATTATTATTATTATTATTATTATTATTATTATTATTATTATTATTATTATTATTATTATGCATTGGTGGATTATTATTCTTTCTTACCCACCTCTCCCCATGGATTCTATGTGTAAGGATGGTATGTTGGGAGTTAAGGTGGGATTTTATTTTACATACACATTGCAGAGAGAGAAAATGCATATAGCAATGATAAAATTCATTGCAGCCTAGTGGAGAGAAAGAACAGAGAATAATAGATCTAGTCTGATTAAAAGTACTCATAACCGGTAGATCATGAACCACATTTCAGGTTCACGGAGGAGTGTTTTCCAGCTTTTTTTGGGGGGGGGGGGAAATCTCCCAAAGAATAAACATACACTAGCTCAGATTTGCAGCTGCTGTCTTTCCCCCTTTCTCCTCTCAGTAGCAATGATATTATTCAGAGCAAAGGAGGCAAACTAGATAATTCATTTTATAAGACAGGAAGACAAAGTACAAGAGGGGAAAGAAGAGCTAACAGCCCTCTGGTATTTTTGTTCTGTTCACAGTGGGCAGAGAATGAAAACCTTGGCTCAAATCACACCATATATCCAATTCCAGTTTTCCAGTGCTCATTTAATAGCATCCCACAAGCTTTTTTCAGCTTCTGTTTTGTTTTATTTTGTTCAGCAGCAAAGACAACAGACCAATTCACTCATGTGTGCCAGTGCCCTTTTCCCATCTCTCTTGACTAGCTTCAGAGGTAACTGGGTAGAGATCTGCATTCTCTGAACCAGAATTCCATGGATATATTCCAGTTGCCAGTTCCATGATTGCTGTGGCACCTTAGATGCTCCACTGAACAGAGAACCCAGGGAAAGAGTATGCATGTATACTATACAATTCATACATACTCTCTGCCCAAGGGGAGTTCAGTGGGTCTGGAGGCCTGAAAAGGAAATGGAAAAACTACTTGCCTGAATCAAATTCCTCACTGTGCACACTGTTTGTGCACATGTTGCAAGCATTTTTTTAAAATATTTCTTGCCAATGTGTTTTGAAACTGAATCTTGTATATGGGGTCAAAGACATCATTGGTCTATCTTAGTGGTGCCCAACTGTTGGTCCTATATTTGTTTTGGATTTCAGATCTCAGAAGCCCCAACCAAGTTGGCCAACACTCAGGGATTATGGGAGCTGAAGTCCATAACATCTGGAGGACTAAAGGCTAGCAATCACTGGTCTGTGTGCTAGCATTATCTTTTGGCAACCATATGTAACCAAAGGTTTGTTGTCATTATTCCTAAAACACAACTGAAAGCCTTTGCATGGTTGGCTTCATTTAGTTTTTTGGCCCAGCACAGTTTCTTCTGTCAATAAACGTGTCCCTTCCCCAGGGGTTCCAAGTCTGTGTCCCTTCTTGCAGTGCCCCATTTGGGAAGCCACCACTGGCAGTACAGTTACACTTGTGCAGCTTTCCAGGGCAAATTTGCTCCCCTCTCCCCTGCTGGGGGGGGGCACAGTGGTACCCCTCTCCTCTCCCATCCTAAAACCCTCAGACAGCTTGCCTTGATGTTTAGGATTGCTCTGGCCAACATTACATAGAATTGAGTATGCCTAAGTCCACTGAATTCATTTAATTTTCTGCTGTATTCTAGTCTGTAGGTGTTGTCTGGTTTTAATTTTTTTAATCCAAAATTGAGGATTTTGCTATTCTTCCCTGTGAAAATGGCATAGTTCTGCACCCAAGAAAACAACTGAAAGAGCTATGTCAGCTTATCTTGTGTTCCTATTGTCTTGGTGTGCTGTTGTAATCTTCTCCATGACAGCAAACTTATCACATCACTCTCACCTCAGTAGATTGTAAGAAGGAGCTTTCAGAGAAAGGAGGGGAACATCTGGCCATCCAGATGTTGTTGGACTGCATTTTCCTCATTCCTTGCTGCTGGCTATGCTGTTTCAGCTGATGGGAGTTGCAGACCAAGAACATCTGGAAGCCACTTGTTCTCCACTTCTACTTGAGAGTATATTAATACATTGTGTATTAATGAAGACCATATTAATATATTGGTTGGCCTTGGGCAAGTCACACTCTCACTGCCTCAGAGAAAGACAGTGGCAAACATTCTCTAAATAACTCTTACTAAGAAAATCTCATGATAGCTTTGGGTTAGAGCTGCCTAAGTTGGAAATACCTTGAAAGCACATAAGAACAAAAAATACAAAGTAGGGAAGAAAGCCAAAGTGGCATAGTGGTTTGAGCATTGGACTATGACTCTGGAGACCAGAGTTCAAATTCCCACTTGGCCATGGAAAACCACTGGGTGGTCACAAACTCTCAACCCCAGAAAACCCCATGATAGATTTGCCGTAGGGTCACCATAGATCAGAAACAACTTGAAGGCACACAACAACAACAACACAAGAGAACAATTAAAAGAGCTAGGTCAACATGATGTCTCTTCCTATTGTCTAGTTAAATGACTTCTTTGCATTATATTAAAAAGGGTATTAAAGTTTTTAAAGTGTAACTGTACTATGAAGCAGCAGCTCTGAGCAGTTTTTATGTTAGACAGTTTTCTTAAACCTCTCTCTCTCCCACCACCACCACTCCAACAAAATAGTAATGCATTGCTGATACAGCTTGTGTGCTTGGAGGGGAGGGGAAAGCTTAACACATTAACTTGTGGACAAAAATCAATTACCCAAAGGTCTAGGAGCTGAATAAATACCTTGATCTCTTTGGTCTGCAGTATCAGTGAGGAACATTTATGAGACTAACCTGCATTTTCTGTGATTCAGACTATATATGGAAAGAATTATGAGTTTGTTATGCTTTGTTCTCCAAGAAAGAGCAAAGGATCATGGAAAGGGGGGAAGGATTTATTATCTAAGCATATCAGCTTTCCCACAAGCAACCAAGAACATATTTAGAAATACATATGGAAAAAGAGGATGGGTGCCACATCCAGTGGTCCTTCTCCCAACCAGTTTGTGTGTAGAGCCATTTGCTTCTCCATCTCAGGCAGCTAAATCTCTGGAGGCAAATTTCTGTAGGCCAGCAGGTCTGTGAATCCTGTGCAGGATTTAACTTGAAGTTTAAAGATACTGCCCAGGGTGCTCAACCTATTGGAGTTCAGCACTTTAACATCTAGACTAATAGTTGGAAGGAATTCACTGCCCCACAGACACGGAAACCACCAGCTGCCCCAGGAAGAGTGGCATTTGCTTCTCTACTCCAGCCAGCCAGATGTCTTGCAATTTTGACCCGTTCTTCAAAATTGGCTGCCAGGAACAGCTGGGGAACAGCTTGGGGGTGGCATTGATGGCGTTCTCTTGTGTGGTAACTTGCGTTCTTGCCCTGTTCCATGCTGTTCATTCTATTCAGTTCCCATTCCTGAAAGTGCCATGCAGGAAACTTAATAGAGTTAGAAGAGACTACAAGGGCCATCCAGCCCAACTCCTAGCCATGCAGGGACACAGAACCAATGCACCCCTGAAAGATGGGCATTCAGCCTCTGTTTGAAAACCTCCAAAGAAGGAGACTCCACCACTTGCCAAGGGAGTCTGTTCCACTGTCAGTCAGCTCTTACTGTCAGGAAGTTCTTCCTAATATTGAGGTGGAATCTCTTCTCCTATAGTTTGAATCCATTGCTCCGGGTCCTATTCTCTGGAGCCGCAGAAAATAAGTTTGCTCCATCCTCAGTATGACACTTCATCAAATATTTAAACAGGGCTATCATACCACCTCTTAACCATCTCTTCCCCAGTCTAAACATATCCAGTTCCCTTAGTCTCACTTCATAAGGCATGGTTTCCAGGCTTTTCACCATTTTGGTCACCCTCCTCTGGACACGCTCCCACTTGTCAATGTCCTTTTTGAAATGTGCCCAGAACTGGATGCAGTATTCCAAGTGAGGCCTGACTCAAGCAGAACAGAACACTGTTACTTACCTTGATCCTTCTTAAACAAGTTGTGAATGTCACAGTGTGTGTGTGTGCACGCGCGTGCGCGTGCATGCGTGTATAATCACACTCACATTCACACTGTTGTCCACATCTCATCACTGTATACAAATCCAACCCTAGTCAAACATCTAGTGTGCTCTCTCTCCTCACATGTGGAGGTTAACACCAAGCAGGATGTTTTACTGTACAATTCACATTAATCCCACCCAGTGTGAATAATGGTAGGGAACTGTGGAGCAGCATCTGCTCTGCACAAATAATCCAGTTTGACACAACTTTAACAGCCATGGCTCAATGCTACAGAATTCTGGGAATTATAGTTTTGTGAGATGTTTAACTTTCACTATCAGAGAGCTCTGGTCCCCAACAAACTACAGTTCCCAGATGCCATAGCTCAATGCAGTTCAAGGATGTCAAACTAGATTATTTCTGCAAGGCGGATGCAACCCAGGACACTTGATTTGCAAAAGCACAACTTCTTAAGCTAGAGCACCAGGTGTGCTACAGGAAGATCTTCAGGAATATCCTTCAAAGATAACAGTAGTTTTTAAACATTCATATGTTATCTTTGCATCCCCAGCTATCCTTTCGTGTCCCAGAAATTAGCTTTTCTTTATTCGTCCTTTAGCTCCCCTGAAATTATCTTGATGGTGCTGAGTACTCAATTTACCACCATTAATATGACATAAATGAATATGGGAGAAAAGGGTCATATTTATTCTGTGACTAATTTGTCAAAGTGTGCTATTAATTTATTTTATTATTTAAACTGTGGATTTATATAATTTATATTATAATTGATAGTCTACCTATTATAAATAGTCTTTACATAGGGCAATTTACAATATATCCATATGTTTAATGGACTGATCAGTTTATAGATATACACACAGATATGGACAGATATATTATACATATTTGCTGTTGTGTGTCTTCAAATAGTTTCTGACGTATGTATATGTATAATACATTATGTATATGTATAATGAGACCCGATGTGGTGTAGTGGTTTGAGCATGGGACTACAGCTATGTAGATCAGGGTTCGATTTCCCTTTTGGGTGAGTTATATACTCTTGCCCCAGAAAGCATCATGATAGATCTGTTTTAGGGTCACCATAAGTCAGAAACTATATATATTGTTGTTTTGTTGTTGTTGTTGTTGTTGTTGTGCGCCTTCAAGTCATTTCTAATTTATGACAACCCCAAGGCAAACTTATCATGGAGTTTTTTGGCAAGATTTGTTTAGAGGAAGTTTGCCCTTGCCTTCCTCTGAAGCTGAGAGCATGTCACCCAGTGGGTTTCATGGCCAAGCAGGGAATCAAACTCTGATCTCCAGAGTCGTAGTCCAGCACTCAGCAGGTTCTCAGTTGTGTGTGTGTGTGTGTGTGTATCCCCAAATATTTTATAACAGTATAATAAAACAGCACACTTAAATGGACTTAGAAAGTTTTTTTTTTAAATTAAATCCTCATTTTTAAAAAAAACTGGATAAAAGTCAAGTTTTCAAAATGTTTTGTTTAATGTTTGGGATGCAAACTCACCCACCCACAGATATCACTTTTATAAATGATGAGGATGAAAAATAAAGTCTTGATTTAGTTCAGTGGGAACCTTTTTCTTACGCATATGTAGTCCAAAGCAATTCCCTCTGGATTCAATAGGAATTCCTCCACATCCAGAAGAAATGCTTTTCTAGTAGCCAGTCTTTTGGAAACTAAAAATGTTCTTAATTGCTATTTATTTCCCTTGTATGCTTCATTTCATCTTTCACAGAAGACTCTGGGATAACTGTATAACATCCAAGATGATTTGAGGGAGATCAGAAGCGCTTACAAGCGGAAATGTCAAAACTGTAATCTAAAACTGTCGTGACTTATGGGCCAGCTCTCAAAGCGGGAACAGCAGACATGGAAGTCTCTCCTGAGCTGACCCCTAATAACAGATGCCTGTACTATTACCATCTGCACTAACTGCAGGCATTGGATCAGCCTTGAGTTATTCCAGTATGGAATGCACTGCAAATAATCAAATACACATGGCACAGAAAGCACAAGGCTGCAGCTACCAGGCTGGGGCATGCAAGACAAGCAGCCTTTTCAACTGGTGACTGTGATAACTGTGCCAAGCACTCCAAAGGTTCTTTGATGGGCTGGAAGCCAACTTTCATCAGCGGAAGTTTGGGGTTTTCTTTTTAAGTGTGTGCTTAGATCTTGGACAGTCATTGGAAACCTCTCTTTGTAAAGAGCCAGGTTAGTAATTCCATCAAGGAAAGGTCTTTTAAAAAGAAAAAAGAACACCAACTATCACACACTGGTGTGTTCAAAAGTAACATTCATAAGCTACACTCCAATAAAGATGCTGCCATGTTTATTTCATCTGCTCCTTTCAGGGATTTTTTCAGATGGCAGCTTCTGTCATGACTTGTTCTGTGCTGCAGTATTAAACCTGTTGTGGAGTAAAAGGGACCACAAAGGGAGAGAGCATCAAGACATGCTCAACACTGTGATTCCCTTGTCACAGTTCCAGGCAGTGTCATTTTGTGGTAGGCTTATCCCTTGTAGTACTACAGGGGTGGGGAAAGTATGCCCCATGGATCACATGAGGCCCTCTGGCGTATTTGAGTCCTCCAGGGATCCCTAGCACACCATGCACACTCCAGAAAAACAGGGAAAAAATGTGAGGATTGGCCTTCCAATGTCACTTGAGAAGAGTGTGTCCCCCGGTCCTTGCTTTGCTATGTAGAGCAGCTTCCTAGAGATCACTGCCCCCCCCCCCTGCAATTTATGGTTGTCAAATCTGTTGACTTATTCAGTACACCTCTCACCTTGAAAAGTGCTCCTGAATGAAAGACACTTTGACATGTCTCAGTCCTGTAGTTTAGAGATTGAAAAATTGCTCATCTTCTCCCACATTTGCAATGTTTTTACAGTCTTTCTGCCAGATCAAAGTATGGGGGGTTTTCTAGTATAAATGAACCAGATAAAATTCTTGCTCATCCCTAATTGGAGTGAAGTTACTTGCTTTGCAAAGAGAGTCAGACTCATTTAAAATAGGTGGCATGATAGCCCAAAAGGTCATGAGCTATATAACACTTGAGTAAAGAACCAGCAAATCAGCAATAGGCTCTTAGGTGGGATCCAAAATCAGTCTGTTTCCTGTTAATATCAGTTTCATAAATGTGCAGTAATAAGTCTTCTCTGTTCTATAATCTACCAATTTCTTTTTAAACCATAGCTGATATCCTCTTTGTGTACACAATCATAACCCACTGCAGAAATCAGGATTCTTTGCTCACCATTCAATGACTCCAATCAAAACTCTTTGCTTACCATTCAATGA